ATCTCCTCTCTTGTAGTTTGAAGCCATGGCTCCATTGCGTTCTAGTCTCCAGGGAAGCAGAAAAGCTTGCTCCCTCCTCCTCCCTGTGGCTTCCTCTCACATATTTATACATGGCTATCATATCTCCTCTCAGCCTTCTCTTCTTCAGGCTAAACATCCCCAGCTCCTTAAGCCGCTCCTCATAGGGCTTGTTCTCCAGACCCTTGATCTCCTCCCTATGACCTCCTCTCACATATTTATACATGGCTCTCATCATGTCTCCTCTCAGCCTTCTCTTCTTCAGGCTAAACATGCCCAGCTCCTTAAGCCACTCCTCATAGGGCTTGTTCTCCAGACCCTTGATCATTTTAGTCGCCCTCCTCTGGACACATTCCAGCTTGTCAATATCTCTCTTGAACATAGGCTTCAAAGGTGTGGTCTAACCAAAGCGGAATAGAGCATGGGGAGCATGACTTCCCTAGATCTAGACACTATGCTCCTCTTGATGCAGGCCAAAATCCCATGGGCTTTTTTTGCCGCCACATCACATTCCTGGCTCATGTTCCCCTTCCTCCCCACGAGGACTCCAAGATCTTTTCACACGTCCTGCTCTCGAGCCAGGCCTCATCGTCCCCCATTCTGTCTCTTTGCATTTTGTTTTTCCTGCCAAAGTGGAGTCTCTTGCATTTGTCCCTGTTGAACTTCATTTTGTTAGTTTTGGCCCATCATCTCTCTAATCTGTCAAGATCCCTTTGAATCCTGCTCCTGTCCTCTGGAGTATTGGCTTGGAAGAGACCACCGCATAGGTCATCCCGTCCAACCTCCTGCCATGCAGGAAAGGCACAACCAAAGCAACCCGACAGGTGGCCATCTAGCCCCCGCTCAAAAGCTTCCACGGAAGGAGCCTCCACCACACTCTGGGGCAGAGAGAGAGAGAGAGAGAGAGAGTTCCATAGCTCTCTCTCACAGTCAGGAAGTTCTTCCTCAAGTTCAGGTGGAGTGTCCTTCCTTTCCTGTCGTTTGAAGCCTGCTCCACTAAGTCCTGGTCTCCAGGGCAGCCTTCTGCTCTTCAGGCTAAACATGCCCAGGTTTTTAAGCCGCTCCTCATAGGGTTTGTTCTAGGATTCTATGATTCCTCTCTATTATGACGGGGATGACATTTCTTGACCTCTCCCTCTTGATCCTCCTCTCTTGCGATGGGTCTCCTCCACAGGGGTCTAATTGCAGGGGGGGGGCTGGCGAGGAGGGGTCTCCCTGACCCCTTGACCCCAGCCCTGGCTCTCAGGCAGCTAATCGGCCTTCTCTTTCCCAGCTTGCCTTGCCACACTCCTACACTCTCTCCCCCTGCTTGCAATTTTTGGAATCAGCTGATGTGGTCTACCCAGTGCCCTTGGTATACCCCCAAGCAGGACCCCCAGAGGCTCCCCAGCCCATCCTTCCTTCCTGCCAGGCAGGAGGAAGTCACCACTGAAACCCTCCCAAAGGATGGGCATCCAGCCTCTGAGTCAAAGCCTCCAGAGAAGGAAGGACACTCCCTTGGACTCCCAGGTGGCAGCTTATTCCACGGATGAGACTTCCCATCAGGAAGCCTTTCCTTCATATTTTTTTTCCCACTGGGTTGTTGTAGGGTTTTTTTTTCGGGCTATATGGCCATCTTCTAGAGGCATTCTCTCCTTATGTTTGGCCTGCATCTATGGCAAGCATCCTCAGAGGTAGTGGTTTGTTATTCATGTCAGGAGTGATTTGAGAAACTGCAAGTTGCTTCTGGTGAGAATTGGCTTCTGCAAGGACATTGCCCAGAGGACTTCGCCTAGATGTTTTGATGTTTATTACCATCCTTCTGGGAAGGCGGCTTCTCTCATGTCCCCTGTGCATGGGGAGCTGGAACTGACAGAGGGAGCTCATCCATTCTCTCGCTCATTTCCCTTTTGCATGGGGAGCTGGAGCTAGCAGAGGGAGCTCATCCATGCTCTCCCCAGATTTGAACCTCCAACCTGTTGGTCTTCAGTCCTGCCGGCACAAGGGTTTCACAGGGGCGGGGGGTGGGGGTGTCCCCTAAATATGATGAATTGGAGTATTTTTCCCTGCTGTTTGAACCCATGGCTCCACTGAGTCCCACTCCCTAGAGCAGGCCAGGGCCAACTCGGAAGAATGCTGCACTCGCAGAGCTCAGGTAGTGGTGTATTTGGGGCCCAGGTGCTTTGGAGTGCAACTCCCACCATTCCTAACAGTCAGTAGGCTGTGAGGAATGGTGGGAGTTGCAGTCCAAAATCCTTGGAGGGAGGGAGGGCCCAAGTTGGCCCTGGCCTGATCTAGAGCAAGCAGGACCAGCCTTTCCCGCTTCCCTGGATGGGAGCCCTTCCTGCGATTCAGAGGGGTCGCTTGACCTTCTCCGCTCCTCCAGGCTGACCCTCCTCGGGCGGCCCATGGCTCCTCCTCCCAGGCCCCCTTGGGGTGTCCCTGCTGGGCCCCAAATACAACACCACCTGAGCTCTGCGAGTGCAGCATTCTTCCGAATGAAGCAGAGAGTGTTTGAGGACCGGGACATCCGTAGGGAGACCAAGGGGCTTGGTGATAAAGCTATTCCATCTGAACATGAGGAAAAACTTCCTGACTGTGAGAGCTGTTCAGCAGTGGAACTCTCTGCCCTAGAGTGTGGTGGAGGCTCCTTCTTTGGAAGCTTTTAAACAGAGGCTGGATGGCCATCTGTCAGGGGTGCTTTGAAGGCGATTTTCCTGCTTCTTGGCAGAATGGGGTTGGACTGGATGGCTCATGAGGCCTCTTCCAACTCTAGGATTCTATTGTCCTCCCAACCTTGCTAGACGCCTACGAGACGTGGACTGTCTACAGATGTCAAAACCGTTTGAGGTCTGCAAGTGCAGTATTCTTCCAAATGAAGCAAAGAATGTTTGAGGACAGGGACATCCATAGGGAGACCAAGGGGCTTGTTTATAAAGCTATTGTCCTCCCAACCCTGCTATATGCCTGCGAAACGTGGACTGTCTACAGACGTTAACACCACCTGAGATCTGTGAGTTCAGCATTTTTCCAAATGAAGCAGAGAGTGTTTGAGGACCGGGACATCCGTAGGGAGACCAAGGGGCTTGTTTATAAAGCTATTGTCCTCCCAACCCTGCTCTATGCCTGCGAAATGTGGACTGTCTACAGACATCACATGCAACTCCTGGAACAATTCCATCAGCGCTGCCTCCGGAAAATCCTGCAAATCTCTTGGGAAGACAGGCAGACAAACGTCAGCATGCTGGAAGAAGCAAAGACCACCAGCATTGAAGCGATGGTCCTCCGCCATCAACTCCGCTGGACCGGCCACGTTGTCCGGATGCCCGACCACCGTCTCCCAAAGCAGTTGCTCTATTCCGAACTCAAGAATGGAAAACGGAATGTTGGAGGACAGGAAAAGAGATTTAAAGATGGGCTCAAAGCCAACTCTGGCATAGACACTGAGAACTGGGAAGCCCTGGCCCTTGAGCGCTCCAGCTGGAGGTCAGCTGTGACCAGCAGTGCTGCAGAATTTGAAGAGGCACGAATGGAGGGCGAAAGAGAGAACCGTGCCAAGAGGAAGGCGCGTCAAGCCAATCCCAACTGTCTGGTTGGGGTTGGCTTGATGCACCTTCCTCTTGGCACGCTTCTCCCTTTCGCCCTCCACTTGTGCCTCTTCAAATTCTGCAGCACTGCTGGTCACAGCTAACCTCCAGTTAAAGCCTCCTGGAAACCGATGCCCTCACTGCGGAGGGGAGAACATAGGGGTCAAGAATTGGGCTCCAGAGTCACCTATGGACCCACCGCCAGGCCACCGACCTTGGAGGACAATCTCATTTGGACAACCTAAGAAGGAAGTCAAAGGATTTGGCCAGGCCTGAGGGCATCCCAGTCCAGCCCAGTCCACAGGCGCCATGGAGGAATGGTGGGAGCTGCAGTCCAAAACACCTGGAGGGGGGGCGGAAGGTGGCGCCGAGCTGCTCCCTGGGGCTAGGGCACCCCCTTACCTGGCCAGGCACCCCCTTACCCCCCCCCCCCTGTGTTAGGTAAAGGGAGAGAGCCAGGACCCGCGGGGACTCCAAAGGGGGGGGGGAGCCTTAGGGAACGGGGAGACACACCCCCCCCCGCCAGGCATGGGGTGGGGTGGGGTGAGGGCTTCCATTTCGGGATGGGGGGGACTGCTGGGGTTGGTGGGGGGGGGCCCCTTTGAGGGGAGGGGAGGGGTGGGAGGCTGCAATCTCCCACCCTGGGGGGACGGGGAAGCAGAGAAAGGAAGTGGCGGGGACCCCAAAGGAACGGGGAGACCCCCCCCCAGCTGGGTTCGGGGTGGGGGGAGGGCTTCTCTTTCGGGGGAGAGGGAGGGGCTGGGCTTGGTGGGGGGCTTCCCCTTTGAGGGGAGGGGCGGGAGGGGTGACCCTTGTCTCCCACCCTGGGGGGACGGGGCGGGGGTCCTTTCCTCACTGGGAAACAGAGAAAGGAAGGATCGGGGACCCCAAGAGAACGGGGAGACCCCCGGTTGGTTTCGGGGTGGGGGGAGGGCTTCTCTTTCGGGGGGGGGGTGCTGGGGTTAGTGGGGGGGCTTCCCCTTTGAGAGGAGGGGCTGGGACGGGGGGCTTGTCTCCCACTCTGGGGGGGACGGGGGAAGCAGAGAAAGGAAGGGGTGGGGACCCCAAAGGGGAGCCCTAAGGAACGGGGAGACCCCCCCCCCCGGCGGGTTGGGGGTGGCGGGGGAGCCTTCTCTTTCGGGGTGGAGTGGGGGGGGGCTGGGAAGGGTGACCCTTGTTTCCCACCCCACCCGGTGAGACGTGGGGAGGGGTCCTTTCCTCCCCGAGAAGCAGAAAAAGGAAGGCAGGGGCGGGGGTCTCTCTCCTGCCCCCTTCCCTCTCTCCTCCTCCCTTTGCGGGGCTTTGTTGGGGCCTCTCTCTCTCCTCCTCCCTCCCTGTGTGTGTGTGTGTGTGTGTGTGTGGGGGGGGGTCTTCTCCGGGGCGCGGCGCCAAAGGAGGCGAGGCCGCGCGGGTCGGGTTTCCTTCCTCCGGCGCCTCGGCTCCTTCTCTCTTCTCTGCCTCGTTCTCTCCTCTCGCCGCGCTCTCTTCGGGATGGACGTAGGTGCCCCCCTCCCTCTCTCTTTCCCCCCTCCCCAATCCCCCCCCCCCACTCAGCCCTCCCCCATTGCCACCTCAGGGTGTTGAGACAAGACCCCCCCTCTTTTGCCCTCCCCTCCCTTGGCCCCTTCCCGGGAGGAGGAGGAGGAGGAGGGGTCTCCGAGGGAGAGGGAGGGGGTCCCGAAGGAAGCCCCTCCCCCAGCTACCCCCCCCACTCCCCTCCCCTCCCCACCTCGGCGCAAATTGGAAGCATCTGTGTCCCTTCCCTTCCCGTCGAGGGAGAGAGGGGAGGAGGGGGACCCCCACCCACTCCCACTGAAGACCTCTTTTGGTGGGGAGGGGGCTCCTAGCACAAACCCCCCAAAAAATACGCACTCTTCCCCCCTCCACGGCAAAGTCGGAGCCCCTCGTTCCTTTCCAAGTAGGAGCTCTGGAATTGGGGGGGGGGGGGAGGGGGGGGAGTGAGGGGGGGGGGGTCGTGGCCCCGGGCAAGCAGGAGGGAGGGCGCCCCCAACTCACACCCCAACTCATACCCCAACCCCCCCTCTCGCAGGTCTTTGTGAGCGCCCCTCCCTCCCTTTTCTCGTCCCCTCCCTCCCCCCTCCCAGCTGCGGAAAAGAGGGGCGGGGGTCGCGGGGAGGGGATGGGGAGGGGGGGAAAGGAAAGGGGGGGGGGAGCAAGGAGCGGCGGGGACGGAGCCAAGGCGCCTGAGACAAAGGCAGAGAAGGAGGAGGAAAAAGGAGGGAGGGAGGGAAAAGGGGGGAGGGAGGGAAAAGGGGGGAGGGGAGCGGAGGAGACAAAAGCGGGACGGGGCCAGATATCCCCCCCCCCCTCCAGTCTTCTTCTTCCTCGAAAGGTCCTCTCTCCTTCCTCTGCTTCCCTTTCCCCTTCCTTCCTTCCTTCCTTCCTTCGGGTTCCTTCACCCTCGGGGCTTCCAAGGCATTCGGAATTGGGGGGGGGGGGAGGGGACCCCCACCCGGGACCCCCACCCAATTCCCCCCCCTCCCACCCCCACCCCATACAACCACACACTGCTTTGATGAAGTCAGCAGATGGAACACCCCCCCCCCCGCGAGTGAAAGAAGGAGGGGGTCTTTAGGGGGGAGCTGAAAGGGGAGGGGGCTTCTCTTTTTGGGGGAAAGAGGTGGGTTGGGGTCTCTCTTGGACTCCCAGGAAAGCGGCAGCGTCCACCCATGAGGACCCCTTCCTTCTTTCCTTCCTTCCTTCACCCTCGGGGCTTCCAAGGCATTCGGAATTGATATTTCAAGACATGTATTCCCCACCCTCCACCCCCCACCCCATACAAACACACACTGCTTTGATGAAGTCAGCAGATTGAACACCCCCCCCCCCGCGAGTGAAAGGGGGAGCTGAAAGAGGAGGGGGCTTCTCTTTTTTGGGGAAAGAGGTGGGTTGGGGTCTCCCTTGGACTCCCAGGAAAGCGGCAGAGTCCACCCATGCTGTCCCTTGGGGGGGGAATGGGGAACTCTCCCCCTTGATTTCATCCCCCACAGAGAAGGAGGGGGGAGGGGCGGGGCTTCCCTCCCCCTGGGGGGACTTTGGGGTGCTCCCCCTCCTGATCTGCTCCAGGCGGGACCCCCCCCCAGCTCACCTCTCCCCCACAAAGAGGGTGGTTACGGGGCTAGAAGGGTGGGCCGGGCCTGCACCCCCCCCCCCCCCCCCCCGCCGCCTGCTCCCTAACTGGCCTTCTTCTCTCCCTCGCATTCCTTGCAGGATTTCCAGGGGCTCAGCGGAGGACGTCAGCGGAGTCCGCTGCCATAACAGCCGCGACCAGGGCAGGAGCATCGCCAGGGCAGGCACCACCCCCCCCCAGGGGGGCAGGGGCAGGGCAGTCCCATGGGGCGGGGGCAGACCCCCAGGGCCCGGCCCCTGCTGCGGCCCCCCTGCTTGCCCCTCCTGCCCCTGCTCCTCCTCCTCCTCCTCCTGCACCCCCCAGGAGCCCCCGCACAGGGCCCGGCCGCCCTCGGAACGCTAGACCTGCAGATCGATGAGGAGCAGCCGGCGGGGACGGTCATCGGGGACATCAGCGCGGGGTTGCCCCCTGGGACGGCCAGCTACATGTACTTCATCTCCGCCCAGGAGGGCAGCGGCGTGGCCACCGACCTGGACATCGACGAGAACACGGGCATCATCAAGACGGCCCGGGTGCTGGACCGCGAGAGCCGCCCCCACTACAGCTTCATTGCCGTCACCCCCGAGGGGGCCACCGTAGAGGTGCGGGTGCAAGTGCTGGACATCAACGACCACGCCCCCGCCTTCCCCCGTCCCCGGGCCACCATGCGAGTCCCTGAGAACACCCCACCGGGTAGCCACTTCCCCTTGGAGCCGGCCTTTGACGCGGACGGCGGGGCGCTGGGCACCCAGGGCTATCTGCTCAAAGGCGAAGGAGCCGGCAAGGCCTTCCGGATGGAGACCCGGCGCGGCCCAGAGGGTGCTCTACAGCCAGAGCTGGTGGTGGCGGGGGCCTTGGACCGGGAGACCCGGGCACGCTACTCACTCCACCTGGAAGCCTTCGATGGTGGGTCCCCCCCTCGCAGCTCCCAGATGGCTCTGGAGGTGCAGGTGGAGGACGTCAACGATAACGCCCCAGCTTTCAACCAAAGCCGCTACCAGGCCCTGATCCCGGAAAACCTGCAGCCTGGGAGCAGTGTCCTGCGGGTCTTTGCCTCCGACGCGGATGAGGGAGAGAATGGCGCCGTAGTGTTCGAGATCAACCGCAGGCAGAGCGACCCCGAGCGGTACTTCGCCATCGACGCCGCCACAGGGGTCATCCGGCTCAATCGGGGTCTGGACTATGAGCTGCGGAAGGTGCACGAGCTGGTGGTGCAAGCGCGGGACCGGGCCCTGCACCCGGAGGTCTCCACAGCCTTCGTCACCATCCAGGTGCGGGACTACAATGACAACCAGCCCACCATGACCATCATCTTCCTCAGCGAGGACGGCTCCCCACGTGTCTCGGAGGGCGCCCAGCCGGGGCAGTTCGTGGCCCGCATCTCCGTCTCAGATCCGGACTACGGGGAGTACGCCAACGTCAACGTCTCGCTGGAGGGTGGCGAGGGCAAGTTTGCGCTCACGACCAAGGACAGCATCATCTACCTGATCTGCGTGGACCAGATGCTGGACCGGGAGGAGCGGGACGCCTATGCGCTGCGAGTCACGGCCACCGATGCTGGGACGCCCCCGCTGCGGGCCGAGTCGGCCTTTGTGCTTCGAGTGACCGATGTCAATGACAACCCCCCTTTGTTCGACACCCAGGAGTATGAGCAGAGCGTCCCCGAGGTGGTCTACCCTGGGAGCTTTGTGCTGCAGGTGACAGCGCGCGACAAGGACCAGGGCCCCAACGGGGAGGTCCGCTACAGCCTCCTGCACACCCAGGAGACCCACTCGCACTGGTTCACCATAGACGCCGCCACCGGCATCATCACGACTGCCTCGGCCCTGGACTACGAGGTGGACCCCCATCCCCAGCTGACGGTGCTGGCCACGGACCGGGGGATGCCCCCGCTCTCCTCCACAGCCCTGGTCCGGGTGGCCCTGCAGGACGTCAATGACAACGAGCCCCTCTTCGAGAGCAGTTTCTACAACGTCTCCCTCAAGGAGGACACCCTCCCCGGCACCTGCTTCCTCCAGGTGAGTGAGTGAGCGTGCTCAGCCTCACCCACATTGGGTCCGAGAGGAACATCTCACCATGCTGGTCTGTGGGGGGAGCCCTGGGGCAGATGCCTCCGAGGCAGGCGCAGAGCCAGGGTCTGAGGTACAAATCGGGTCCAGATGGCTGGGGGTGGAGGCGGGGGAGGTCGAGGGGCAGGGGGTGGCAGACGGCCAGAGCAGGGGATCAGAAAAGGCAGCCAATTCGGGGGTGTCAGTTGTCTGCCCAGGCGGTGCGATAAGCCAAGTGTCTCTCCGTAAGCCAATTTGCTGGGTTTGCCTGATGAGAACCACGAGCCCCATTCAGGCTCCCGGGCCGGCTGAGGCGCCCGAGCGGGCAGGAAGGGCCGCCTCTCCCCCTTGGGCCCTCTTCCCCGGCCTTTCTTTGGCTTACTGGGGTTTTGTTTCAGTGTCACAATGACTACTTTAAGGCCGGTCACAAAGGGTCCGGAGGGGCTGAAAGGTTTTCCTCCTGGTCTTTGACAGTCGTGATTTCTGGTGTCGGCTTTGTGCTTCGTTCTCTGGTTGCCTGGAGACTGGCCCGGTTGCCCCTCGCAAGATGCAGAAGGGGCTGCGGATGCGGGCTGGCATGCATCCCTCGGGCAGGAAGGGAGGGAGAGTGGAAGGGGGGGGGGCTGGCAGAGGCCTGGCGCCACAGATGCCGTTGCCAGGGCTGCCCTGCGCCAGAGCGAGCACGGGCACCAAGGGGGAATCTGGGTTTGCCGAACGGACTTGGCAAGCCGGGATCAGGAGGCCACAAAAAATGTGGTGCCAGGCCCCTTCCTTCCTTCCCCTCTTCTTTGGGGCTGACTCAGAGGAACTCATTCCGCAACAAAGGAGTTCTGCCTCTTGGAGGAGCCACGCCCGTCCTTTGTTGCTCTGAAGCCCAGGAACAGCCCGAAGACCTGCTCCAGGGGTTCCTCTACCTTGGCGTTGCTGGCTTCCTGTGGCAGGAATCGGGTCCCGGCCAAGAGTGCCCTCAACCCACTGCTTTCCTCCCCTTCTTTCTCCTCCTTCTCCTTCTCCTTCTCCTTCTCCTCTTCCTTGGGTTGCTCCAACAGCCTCACGCCTGGCCCCACAGCAGCCCAGAAGTGGGGGTGTGATTTGGCCCTCAGCTGTCAAGGGAGCCATTCCAATCCCTCTTTTTCTCTTGGAGGGAGGGGTCCCCACTACGCCATGTGTGCGGGATCCTATAGTGTGGAGAAGGCAAACACTCCTTCCATGTATTGTCGAAGGCTTTCATGGCTGGAATCACTAGGTTCTTGTGGGGTTTTTTGGGCTATAGGGCCATGTTCTAGAGCAGTGGTTCTCAACCTGGGGTCCCCAGATGTTTCTGGCCTACAACTCCCAGAAATCCTAACAGCTGGTAAACTAGCTGGGATTTATGGGCAGGTTTTTTCGGGCTATATGGCCATGTTCTAGAAGCATTTTCTCCTGACATTTCGCCTGCATCTATGGCAAGCATCCTCAGAGGTAGTGAGGTCTGTGGACAAGAAGTCTACAAGGGACCACCAAACGCAGCCGCATTGACACGAATCAAGGAACATGAAAGGCGCGGCAGACTCCTTCAACCAGAGAAGTCAGCCAGAGCAGAGCACCTGATGAACCAACCTGGACACAGCAGATTATTTGAGAACACAGAAATGCTGGACCACTCCCACAACCACCATGTCAGACTACACAGAGAAGCCATTGAAATCCACAAGAAGCATGTGGACAATTTCAACAGAAAGGAGGAGACCATGAAAATGAACAAAATCTGGCTACCAGTATTAAAAAACTCTAAAATTACAACAGCAAAACAGCAGAGAGGAAACAACCAGGCACATCTTAACACCTCTCAACAAAAGATTTTTCCCAGGCTCAGGCAGGCCTTCAAATGCTAATGAAGGTGTCAGTTGAAACATTCACACCTAGCTCCAGCAGACAAGAGTCCTTTGTCCCACCCTGGTCATTCCACAGATATATAAACCCATTGTCCTAATTCCAGCAGACCTCACTACCTCTGAGGATGCTTGCCATAGATGCAGGCGAAACGTCAGGAGAAATGCCTCTAGAACATGGCCCTATAGCCTGAAAATACCCACAAGAACCTACTCCTTCCATGGCTTGAATGAGGGACCAGGCCTGGCTCGACATGTGGAGAAGACCTTGGAGTCCTCCTCGTGGGGAGGAAGGAGAAAAGGAGCCAGGAATGTCATGCAGCAGCTTAAAAAGCCAATGGGATGTTGGCCTACATCAAGGGAAGAAGAGTGCCTAGATCAGTGGTTCTCGACCTGGGGGTCGGGACCCCTGGAGGGGTCGCGAGGGGGTGTCAGAGGGGTCGCCAAAGGCCATCACAGACAGTGTTTTCTGTTGGTCATTCTCTGTTTCTGACCTAATTCTATCGTTGGTGGGCTTCTGAATGCTCATTGGTTGTAGGTGAACTATAAATCCCAGCAACTACAGCTCCCAAATGTCAAGGTCTATTTTCCCCAAACTCCACCAGTGTTCACATTTGGGCATATTGAATATTCGTGCCAAGTTTGATCCAGATCCATCATTGTTTGAATCCACAGTACTCTCTGGGTGTAGGCAAACTACAACTCCCAAACTCAAGGTCAATGCCCACCAAACCCTTCTAGTATTTTCCGTTGGTCATGGGAGTTCTGTGTGCCAAGTTTGGTCCAATTCCATTGTTGATTGAGTTCAGAATGCTCTTTGACTGTAGGTGAACTATAAATCCCAGCAACTACAACTCTCAAATCTCAAGATTCTATTTCCCCCAAAGTCCACCAGTGTTCACATTTGGGCATATTGAATATGCGTGCCAAGTTTGATCCAGATCCATCATTGTTTGAATCCACAGTACTCTCTAGGTGTAGGCAAACTACAACTCCCAAACTCAAGGTCAATGCCCACCAAACCCTTCTAGTATTTTCCGTTGGTCATGGGAGTTCTGTGTGCCAAGTTTGGTCCAATTCCATTGTTGGTAGAGCTCAGAATGCTCTTTGAATGTAGGTGAACTATAAATCCCATTGGCCTAGATCCAGGGAAGTCCTGCTCCCCCTCTGATTTATTCTGCCTTGGTCAGACCAGTTTGCCTGGAATGACTCTGTGTCCCATTCTGGGCACCTCTATTGAAGGGAGAGGTGGACTCTAAGCTGGAATATTGTGTCCAGAGGAAGAGGGCAACTCAAAGGATCAAGGATCTGGAGAACAGGCCCTATGAGGAGCGGCTGAAAGAGCTGAACATGTTTAGTCTGCAGGAGAGGCAGTGGAGAGGAGAGATGAGGAGGGCCAGGGATCAAGAGGGAAGGAGAAGACCTAGGGAGTGGGGAGCAAACTTGTGTTTCTGCTGCCCTGGAGACTAGGACCCCATGGAGCCATGTATTGTCGAAGGCTGCTTGAGGATGCTTGCCATAGATGCAGGCGAAACGTCAGGAGTAAATGCCTCTAGAACCCGGAAAAACCTACAACAACCCAATGGAACCATGGCTTCAAACAACAGGAAAGAAAGGAGGTTCCACCTGAACACGTGGAAGAACTTCCTGACAAGGTTGTTGTAGGTATTTTGGGCTCTATGGTCATGTTCTAGAAGCATTCTCTCCTGACGTTTCACCTGCATCTATGGCAAGCATCCTCAGAGGTTGTGAGGTCTTCTTGACAGTGATAGAGAGCTGTTCAGCAGTGGAACTCTCTGCCCCGGAGTGTGGTGGAAGCCCCTTCTTTGGAGACTTTGAAGCAGAAACTGGATGGCCATCTGTTGTCGGGGCTTTGGTTGCCATTTTCCTGCTTCTTGGCAGAATGAGGTTGGACTTGATGGCCCATGAGGTCTCTTCATAGAATCCTAGAAGAGTTGGAAGAGACCTGGTGGGCCACCATCCAGTCCAATCCCCTTCTGCCAAGAAGCAAGAAAATTGCCTTCAAAGCAGCCCTGGCAGAAGGCCATCCAGCCTCTGCTTCAAAGCCTCCAAAGAAGGAGCCTCCACCACACACCAGGACAGAGAGTTCCACTGCTGGACTGCTCTCTCTCACCTCATGTTCAGATGGAATTTCATTTCTTGTAGTTTGAAAACATTGAAACCATCTAAGATATCTCAAGGTATCTCCAACTAATGGTCATCTAAAACATTTTAAGGTATCTCCAACTTATGTTCATCTAAAACATCTCAAGGTATCTCTAATTTAAGTTCATCTAAAACATCTCAAGGTATCTCCAACTTATAGTCATCTAAAACATCTCAAGGCACCTCTAATTTATGGTCATCTAAAACATCTCAAGGTATCTCCAACTTACGTTCATCTAAAACATCTCAAGGTATCTCCAACTTATGGACATCTAAAACATCTCAAGGTATCTCCAACTTTTAGTCATCTAAAACATCTCAAGGTATCTCCAATGTATGGCCCTCTAAAACATCTCAAGGCATCTCTAACTTATGGCCATCTAAAACATCTCAAGGTATCTCTAATTTATGGTCATCTAAAACATCTCAAGGTATCTCCAACTTACGTTCATCTAAAACATCTCAAGGTATCTCCAACTTATGGACATCTAAAACATCTCAAGGTATCTCCAACTTTTAGTCATCTAAAACATCTCAAGGTATCTCCAATTTATGGCCCTCTAAAACATCTCAAGGTATCTCTGAATACCTGAATATCTCTGAAGGGCTAGAAGGCATGATCATCAAGTTTGCAGACGACACCAAATTGGGAGGGATAGCCAATACTCCAGAGGACAGGAGCAGAATTCAAAACGATCTTGACAGATTAGAGAGATGGGCCAAAACTAACAAAATGAAGTTCAACAGTGACAAATGCAAGATACTCCACTTTGGCAGGAAAAATGAAATGCAAAGATACAGAATGGGGGACGCCTGGCTCGAGAGCAGTACGTGTGAAAAAGATCTTGGAGTCCTCGTGGACAGGAAGTTAAACATGAGCCAACAATGTGATGTGGCGGCAAAAAAAGCCAATGGGATTTTGGCCTGCATCAA